GTGAACCATGTGTAAGGTTAATGCTAGCAGAACTAAAGTATGTTTTGCCAAAAATGTGCCTGTGCATTTAATATCTTTTGAAAAACATTTACAAACACCTTTTTATGGTTTCATGCTCATGNGGGGGGGGGGGGTGCCTATAAAGCTGAGCCTGATAGGAAGGATCCATTGCGTGCGACCAAATCTTTCTAATGGGTCCACCTCACTAGGCTGCTTTCGCCCTTGGTGCCTAATGATGAAAACAGATTCAGTTTCTGAAACACTGCATATCAGATACTCCTGAGAATGGACAATGTCTAGTATAATATTCATACAATGATTTAACCATTGTTACAGACCTTTACAGAATCATGCATTTGGCTGTGTGATAACTTTGATGGTTGAGTGAAACAAATTTGGAATGGTAAAAGTGGAAATATATTCAATGTTTATAAATGGATTAGGTAAGAAGTAAGGATTTCTGAAATGATCATAAAGTAAAAAGTTGTTCTATGCATTGGTATTCATAGACTTGCTTTGTTGGCTAGGTTAGTAGCATAGATTTCTACCTCCTTTTCTATTCTAGTTTCACAAATATGCGTGCTTCATTACAATTTTTATTGCATATTTTCCTGTTATCTCCCTTCAACATAGTCTGGTCTAAGGTGTTTAAATAGCTGTAGTGAATCTGACATGGGTTGCCCAGTGATTGAGGTTAGCTCCTTCTAGGGGACCTAACAGAGTAGATGTCTCCCCCTCACTCAAGGACGGAAACAGATCCAGTTTCCAAAATGTTATGTTTTCTAGTTTTTAGAATACAGGAGGATAGACAAAGTCTGAAAACCCAGTAATTCTGAGTGTTATACACCATCATAGGGCCTTTAGAATTTACTATATAACCAGTGTTTTGGAAAGTATGGTAGAAGAGTAAGCCAAGCTTGGCAAAAATGTTATGGACATATGGAGAGGGGGGTGGGAACAAGACTGGGGCTCTGAGCAAGCCAGTGGGAACAAGGAGAAAGCGGGAAGGGTGTAAAGAATATTGACACTGTAAAGAACTTAATGGTAGAGCAAATGGGAGAAATGAGTGTTCTGAGTGAACCAGTAGGGAGTAGTGACCCGCTGAAGGGCTTGATCAAGGGAAGAGTGAATGGGAGAACAGATAACCCTGAAAATGGAGGCAGCCAGACTGCATGGCATCACATCCTCATTATCATTGCCATAAGAACATCAAATCTTCCATGATGTCCAACTATTTGAGCTGATTTCTGTAAGGGTTAAGTGTAAATTGTGTACAGTATAAACTGTACAGTGTAGATTGCAAGATAAGTTAGGGAACATAATTTTCCCATTCATTTCTCAAGCATCCTGTGTAAAAATGTAATTATATTGTGTCCACAACATCTGGGGGTGTGTCATCATCAGTGACATAAATCATCATATAATCATTACAGAGTTACTAGAATCTATTTTCAGCACATGGTGGGGTTCTTGTTGAACACACAGGACTTGCCTTTCATAAGGTTACATGCTTGAGGTGTATGACATACCCTCAGAGGTGTTTTATACTTTACAAACAAATTTAAGTACACTTCAAATTGAAGCTGTATGAAAATTAAAGAAACTGCATGTGTTAAATGTGATCCATTACTAGTCACATAAGATGGTTTTTACTGTGTAATCATATTATTCAAAATGGCAGAAATTACATGAATTATAACTTCAAACAAGTTTATTTCCAGTGCTTGAATTGGAAGCGAACATCTAAGGGAGTGAAAACCTTAAGCCAATGAATATTAATGGGTGGCTGCACTGTATTAAGTTACAAATGGTGAAGATACAAACTAGTATTCGAGAACATGCTTCTGTAATGTGGGGCATCACTGTAATTTGACCACTCCAACTGCAGTTTTCTAAATATCAGACATTTAGTCGAGTAGACACAGAAGTAACAGACATCCTATAATAGGTAAGGTAAAGCTATCCCTGTAAGAGGCTGTGAGGACCCATAGGGGTGTGAGACGTCGAGGTTCCCACATCTAGCCAATCAGCTCACAGATAGCGGCAAGGTTGTCAGCCTCACATGCCGACCGACTGCCCTTTATCCCCAGGAAAATTCCTGGTACTCATTTCTGTTAGAGGTTGAGTCCAACCCAGGGCCATATTGCAGCTGGAAGGATTACGTAAATTGAAAAAATTCAATGACCTCATCAGGAATTGAACCAGCGACCTTCTGGCTGGTAGCATAGTGCCTCAACCAACTACACTACCATGTGTCCCCACAAACATCCTGTATGGTATTATAAGGTAAAAGTATTCCAATTCAAGCACTGTTCTTTACCTCTTATACAGTCATTGAGAATTTCTTAAAATCTGGAGGCCAGATACAGGTGAAACAGTATTTTCCAGCTGAACTGTGTGACTGATTACAACTGGAAGCAAGACATGTGGTTACTTAACTATATTATGGGTTCCCACAATACAAGCTCCAAAAAACAGTTTAAATATATAGATGCAGTGCTTGGTGGGCTGACAGGTCATGTGAGATACATGTGAAAGATGACTGGAAGTTCTGGTTGGAGCCAAGTGTGAAAATTGTCACCAGCCAAAATTATTTGGTTGCCAGTGGCAACTGAATCTTTTAACCCCTCCCTAAGAGAAGGCAAAACAATTATCATGGTCCACCTGCTGTGACTTGCCTCACCTTCTGTTCACTGGAGGATTTTGTGTGTGTAATTACATAGCTTATTTTGAAATGGTATTAGCTACAAGGATTATTTTTTTCAGTACAAAATCTGTATATCATCTGCCAATACATAGAATTCAAGCATGGGACAGGTGCCATGATGGCCCGTCTCTGTCTCCACTGTGTGACAGTGTCGAGTGACTGCCATTTATTTGTTATTGTTATCAACAAGACTGTTGATTTTGTATGAATGTGATATAGTGTAATGACATTTAATGTGCATAATCAGTTTTTTTGTGTATGAACTCATTCCGCTCATCAAATCACATCATAAATTTGAAAACAAGCACAGTACAACAGTGTGACTTCTGTGCTTTTATATATTTCTTTGATGTTAATAAAATTTTATAAAAATCATATAGTATGGAACATTACTATAAGCAACCTTTCAACCTTCCCATCTGAAACCCTCATCAAAGTTGTACAGAAGTTGAGCAGGTTGGTGTAGTGGTAATGGTCTAGACTTGTATGTGGGAGATGCTTGGTTCAGATTATAATCAGAACAATAGCTCTCTTGATATGTTTAATGTTTTCTGCACTCCATCCAGGCAAATGACAGGATATTACCATGGTCAGGTCACAGTTGCTTCCAAATTTTCTCCAGTTCAGTAATCATCCTACCATTTGAGGCTCTCCTCTGACCCTGCTGTAAAATAAATCACAAAAAAATAATGATATACGACTACTAATATCCACAGGAGATGAAAATGTAAACTGGAATGAGCTATATTTTTATGAATCAAGCGCACATTTCTGTAATTCATACTCATTAAGATAAGTACCATGCTTATGTGGGTTTCAGCCAAACTCAACAATTATAAAGGAAAGGTATTTTTTTTTAATTCGCTTAGTGGGGGGTGGAGTCCAGCTGGCTCCACTCGGCACTGCGGCCACTGATTGGCCTATTGTACCTGCTCCGGGTGATTATGATGATGGAGAATTTGGTGGAATGAAGATTGGCAGGGGAAACCGAAGTACTCGGAGAAAACCTGCCCCAGCGACACTTTGTCCACCACAAATCCCACTTGACCAGACCCGGGATCGAACCCAGGCCGCCACGGTGGGAAGCCAGCGACTAACCGCTTGAGCTATGGCGCGGCCTTAAAGGATAGGTAAGTCCTACATCTGTTAACCTTAAAGAAACATTAGAAACAGTTCTTAGCCATCAAAAACAGATGACACCAGATGGTATGTAGACCTTCTAATAGTAACACTGTAATATTTCATCATCTCATTCATGTACACAACTTCTGTAATTGATACAGTGTTGCTAAATAATTATGACTGCATCATCCAAAGCAGCATTGTCAGTTGTACTGTTGAACTGCAAGGGCTGTGCCAAGTCCGAATCCAGTCAGAGGTGGAAGAAATGCAAGCCTCTGCCAATGTTACATTCCTAGAAATCAGAGGTTTGCATGAAACTGGGAAGTTCGGGAAATTGCAGCCATGACTAATGCATGCAAGAACCTAACTGTATAACCAAATTTTACTCAGAAATTCTGGAGGGAAGAGAACACTTGGAACACCTTGGTGCAGATAAGGATAATATTAAAAGGAATCATGTAAAGAGGGTGTGAGGTTATGAAGTGGATTCAATTGCCCATTACAGCCCTGTTTTCAGTAAGTATGTATTTCCTGAATGCTGAAGCCACTGACATTTCTTATATATACATTAAAAATATTGTTACAAGAACCCAAATACCATGATCAGCAAATCTGGATATAAATGGAAAATAACAGATACATGAAATCTGTGATTTGCAAGGGACTGTAGTGTCATATTTTTCTGTCAAAAACATTGAATCCTCGGGCTGGATTCTGCATCAGGAAAGAGTTGGTCTATTCTCAAACCGAAGGCAGAAACCAAAGACGTGGAAGCTGTGTATTTCAGTATAATTACAACTTTAATTTCAGTTCACATACAATAGTTTTATTTGGTGTATATAATTGATAAATAGTTTTGTACTGTAGTGTTCCATGTGGTAGGTATGTACTGATATTTCAGAGGAACACATTGCCTCTAGTTTCATGCTGAAGTGGAAGATTGAACCATTATGTTCCTCCAGAACACTGGTAACTACCTATCAGACTACTTGGTCTCATAACCCACTAGACTATATTAGGAAACTTCGCTGCCATGAAAATCTCAAATTTTACATATAACTAGTTTCACATTTCACCTGTACAATTTGTCTTGTTCTTGTACTGATTATCAATAGTTTTTTATATGGAGCTGATTATACTAACCATGGGATATACTGCAGTTCCTCATTTGATTTTTCTCAAAAGCCTTTATTTCCTTTATCTCACATGTAGGAACCTTCAAATTAATGCAATTGTACCTTATTTATTTCACAATTTCTTTCTGATTTTTAATTAAAAAACAATTGAAAAATGCTGAAGCCAGAACTAAGTCCACATACATTTGCTTGATGGACGGAGTAATTACAGTTTATTATCAGTTTACCAGTAGGATAAGATCTAAAATACCAGCAAATCAGAAAATGTGTTTAATACTGAAACAAAATACAGCATATTTATTATATACTAACACCACTATACTTAAAAACTTCAAGGCATTGATTATAATGACTAAATGTGCAAGGATCAGTAGTACAGCACACAGCTTATTTTTGAGGAACAAGTTTATTTTAACAATACTTTTAAAACTGCAATTGTTATCCTGCCCCCATTTTGTAACAAATAAATTGAATAATTTCAAAAGGGAGAAGTGATTTGCGTGTGACGGTAAATACAAAACCATCACGCATCACTTAGCCTCGTACAACTCTGATGGTCCATAGTGGAGTTAATTATGTCAGATTTCTATTAAACAATTACAGAGAACATATTACATGACAGTAGTACATCTATTTAACTAAGCAACGCAACACAACACAAAGATTTCAATCTACTGTAGCTAGAGACCACCTTGGGAAATTGCTGATGCACAGAACTCATTTTTGTGCAAATGACGCTGAATGTGGAGCAAATATACAGCATTCTAGATAGAAAATTCTTGTGTAGCGCCAGGAACTTCATGCCATGAAGGTTAATGTCTCTATTCCTTTATTACAGACTAGAGCACAATCGAGATATAGAACATATTACTGAAAAGTTTATTTGTTACCTGAACTGAAAACTGTATTTTTTCTTAATTCTGACAGATTCACTCTTGCACATAATTTGATAGCCTGCCATTAGTACAACACGTCTCACTGCTCAATGTCCAAATTGAAACGTTATCCTACCATTAAGCGTGTAAATAAGAATTATTACATAAAGAACAGACTTTATCATGTATTTTATGCAGATCCATCAATTTCGAGCTGTGAATCTACAAAATCTAAGTAGTTCTGTCCCACTCGAATAAGAGTGACTCCTGAGGATAGTCCAATAAGGCTGCAGAGTGTCACATTATGGGGAAGTACACTTCTAAGTACAGCCCACAGGAGAACTGAACCAAACGTGAACATGAGAGAACCGAAGGTGCTGAAAGAGAAAGGCATTAAGGTAGCGGTATCATCATCATCTTTACAATGTTCATGTATCATAAGGTAACTAACAGCACAGCACTAAGTTTTGCTTGAAAATGAACTGTTCTTATCATTTTCTAAGATTAACATGGATATCGGCGAAAGAGAGTGGGAGGTCACGAAACTGAACTATGACAAGTTCACAGTCAGATTTTTGTAACATTACAATCCACAGGAACAGAGAATTTATTGAGCAGTCTCATAACTGCCGCTCAGTGATTATCTTCTAATATGGCACTGGTTACACAAATGACATTGTTTACTTCTGAGAGCTGTCAAACTTCATACTAACACATTATTATTATTATTATTATTATTATTATTATTATTAAGATACATTTCTTTGATCCAACAGTCACCCCATAGGGCTGGATATAAAAACTGTCATATATCATGTCAGAGACAAACAGTCACATACAGTAGAGTACAGATACACATTAAATGTAATATGTAAAATCTAAAGTACAAAGTAACAATAAATCAAGCCTCCTGGAAAACAATACAAGTTGTCAGTAAAGAAAACATATAAAATATAAAATAATAAATAAGGCCTTTTGCAAAAAAGCGCAAGTTGTCAATCAAATTATAACAAATTATAAAGGAAAATATTAACTCTGCTGACAACATCAATCAACTAGAATTGATACAACTCAACCTTCCAATTCTTAGTTTAAATATTAGATGTTAAAACAATTGGGAACAGCCCCCTTGACTCAGAACACAGACAGGACCCACAATATGTTCTGACTGTGCATTTATCTTTATGCTTCTTACATGGTCAACAAATTCCTCAATGGAGTAAAAGGAATTTCTTAATAAACATCTTTTTAAAGCAACCCTAAATTGATCTGTATCTGTTCTTAACATTGAGATACTGTCTGGTAACATGTTAAAGAACCTGACACCTGAGTGATACACACCGCTCTGATACAACAACAAACGAGAAGCAGGCATATGAAAAAGATTGTTATTCCTGGTGCCAATTGTGTATATATTATTTATCAAAAACTTGTCACGGTTTTTTTACAACAAAAGTCAATAGTGATAACAAGTATACACAGGGAATTGGCAATATTCCCAGCTTCTTAAACAGATCACGACATGAGCGAGTTGGTCCAACTCCCATCATTATTCTTATTGTTTTCTTTTGCATACGAAAAACTTTAAGACAATCAGGGGTATTACCCCAGTATATTATGCCATATTTCATTAAAGAATGATAATATGCATAATGAACAGATTTTAAGTTATTTTTGTTTAGAATGTAAGATAATTTTCGCATTTCTAATCCAACCATACTCAATTTATGAAGTAACTGATTTACATGCACCTTACAAGTCATATGATTATCAATCTGTAAACCCAGAAATGTTGTAGCTTCAGCTGTTTTGAGTATTGTGTTAAGAAGCATAGTTGTTAGTGGATAATCAGTATGTATTGTTGGTGTAAACTTTATAATTTTTGTTTTGTCAAGATTTAATGCAAGAAGATTTGCCTGAAACCATCTACTCATATGACTACAAATATCATCTAATTTTATTTTTAAATTATTATAGTCCTTGGCTGTACAGACAATGCTTATGTCATCTGCAAATATTATGACTTCAAAAAATTCTCTTATTTCAAGGGGAAAATCGTTGATATAAATATTAAAAAGTTGAGGTCCCAAGACTGAACCCTGTGGCACACCAGAGCGAACTAGCTCCCAGTCTGAATTATCATTGCCAACAACAAGCCTAAGTGAATAAAACTGCTTTATTTCACACATAAAAATAAGATGCATTAGATGATAAGACAGAAAAACATGATAACTTATACTGAAGCTATCCAATCAGCCAGGATAGCTTTTTACACATTACAAGTTCCCAAATGAGTAATGACTGTTCTGTTGAAAAAAGATCTTATCAGTAGTTGATCAAAAACCACAATAACTTCATCTACATATAGTCTTAATCTTGAGAGGATATTGGATAAAATTCTCAATGAAGATGACAGCAGTGATATCCCCTGGTAATTACTACAGTCAGTTTTATCACTCTTCTTTGGAACTGGTGCAATAATACATTCCTTCCACTGATCAGGCAAGTCTTCCTTATTCCAAATGAATTAGCTTATGGATCCTAGAATGTAATATTTCACCTTCTGCTTGAATCAGTTCTGCTAGGATTTGACCACTAACTGGCAATTTATATCTTTTCAACTTTGCAGTAGAAATTTTAACCTCAAAAGGACTAGGATCAGGTAATAATGGCTCAGCTGTATATATATCTCTATCTGCCCAACATCACTGACTCTATGTACATTCAATAACTGAGAAAAGTAGTTCTTCCACTTATTCAAAATGTTGTGGGAACCTGGAAGCAGATTACAATTTTCATCCTTCACCAAGTTACTTCCAGGTTAGTAACCCCTCTTACAGAAATTTATTCCTCTATACAGGTCTAGTTCTTACTGTTTTTTGGAAGCTCACCAATTTTGTCTTTCAGATATTCCCTCTTTTTATACCTGCAATGCCTGCTGGCTTCATGTCTTACACTGTTCTGATTATCCCCGTTTATTTCACTTCGATCCTGTAACCACTGCAATTTGCCTTGCTTGCTTCCTTCGGCCTAATAATTGTAGGCATCCTATGTCGAGCCATGGCCCAGCAAACTTACTAAGTTGGAAAATACCATTACAACTCACCTATAAGCAATCCGTAGTTTCAATGGGGCAGCATTTAAATGTGGCCGATTATAAATGTACAATCCGGATCCAATCAATGTATTAAGAAGCAGGACATTTGTTACATCACGCTTCGGAATGAATCTGTTAACAGAATTCATACGTGATTTATATTAACATATACATCACTCACGTCACTACTACTGAGAATATCAAATTACTACACAAGACTAATTCTAACAGCTACATTCACCTACCTTGCCACCAGACCAGGATTCATAACATTTACAGACAGAAAACTGTAGCTTACAGCACCAAGAACTGGGCTATAATAGAACAGAACATTCTTCTTAGTAAAAGGCTTAATCCCACATTCTTGCACTATTGTAACTAAAGATTTACGCTCCTCAGGTCGTCGGCCTGATACAGCCATTTTCCAGAATTTTGTACCTTGGTGGAGGTTTCGGACGATTTTATTCTCATACAACTTTGAAATGTGCTGCCCAGCATGACCACACGGGAAGAAGCAAAATTCCCAACCGTCAGATAAATAGGGCGAAATTGGGTGACACTATTAAGCTATTTTTATCACTAGAGTAAGCGTGATTCGTAATTATTGTTGATTGAGTTGATAAGGTAATTGGGACTGGCTTCATCGATTTGGTTCAACTGAAGACGGAGACAGAATCCAATCTCCGAAATATCGTTTACATTTACATCTATTTTCACTTCATGGATCCAATCATCTCCCCGTAGGGCTGGATATAAAACGTCACATATTACAAATTCGTGATGGCTACACATTATTCGTCCTATGTCCAATAAAACATATAATCAGGCCTCTCACAGATAGCTCAAGTTGTCAGGACAACACAAATGGGTCGTGGAAAAACCATTGTCAAATTCATGTCTTGCCATTCCACACATACTGGCACGCCGTATCATTAAAACAGTTACATTATAAAATATTAAAATTCATAAGAAAAACAGACATCATACACACTATTACACTTACAACAAGCAAGTCTCAACAATATATAATTCACGCACACAGACCAATTTTAAAACGGGACGGTGGATAATGTCCAGGAACACAAAAATTGTATTGATTGGGCGAAGTCGGTGTATCACACTGAACACTTTACGGCACACTGAACTCGGAATAGAATGTTGGGGCTGGCCTATATTCCTATGATGAAATATTTCAGCAACATCCTCTGGGTTGCTTTTGAAACCACCATTCTGTAATTACCCTGTTGTGGTCCTTAAGGACATAAGAGCAACCTCGATTAGAGTTTTTCTGGCTACATTGCTGACTGCTTCCATTTACAAAAACATGTTTAGGTGATACCATTAGCGGCAAGGGATTTTCGAATATTATGATTTCTCTAACAAGCTGTATAATGTTCAATGATTTTTAGATTTACCCACTATATGACTGCACAAATGCCTGGTTCCTAGGTATGTACAACAATCCACTGGCTATTCTAGTTATTGAAAGACAATATTCTGGTGACATATTGCATTAACTGTTGACATTATTAATAAAATCTTGAAATTTCAAAAATAAAGTTTCTTAGTTTGCATACATTTGATGTTGTTGCCAAAAAATAATTATTTTTCACACTAATATTATCTTATTAAAACTCTCATGTTTAAACATGCCTTAATTTATCCCAGTTGGCTTGTTTCAACTATACACATGTGCAAATTATTGTGCTGTTTCATTTAACTATATAGCCCGCAGATTTAATTTAGAAACTGAGCTCGGGGTTTGGATTTCCTACTTCCGTGAAAAGCTTGGTCATATTGCGTTAGGTTCTTCTAACTGTCACGTTAGGTTATATTAGGTTAGGTAGGTGCATCAGTAAATTTTTGCTGAAGAGAGAAATTCATACGTTGGGTGACTATGTTGGTAATACTATGAGAATATTTTGATTCCGTTGGAGGAAGTGGCTGCGGAGTGTAGGAAGGTGCTTGAAGTTATAAATGCAGTATTCGAGCTTGTGATGAAATGCATTAACCTTGTATGGTTATAACATTAATTTAATATTTTTTTAAAATGATGCATTATGAAGAATAACAGACAAATTCTGTTGTCGGCACTTGTCAGAGCTAAATTAAGCCGTTTGTGTAATAAGATGGCGGATTCTGTAAGTGATATGGAAAACGTCGGAGAAAAGCTTGAAAATGCCTTTATCAAACAGGAAAGGAGGACAGAGAACTCCCAGTCAGATAATAAAGTAAGCGGTGATAATGAAGATGCAGACTCCGTGGAAGAACAACCCTTGGATATTGGAGAGCACTACCTAGTTCGAAGAAGTGATGGTTCCTGGCGTAAGTAGACCGCATGCAGGTCTTGCAGTCAAATAACGGCAATATATATCATTGTGGTGCGTAAATAATATTTTTATTGTGATATGAAGTGTTTGGCTCTCCCTCCCCCAATTTATATTTTTGCAAGATTTTAATGGTAACAGCACTCACTGTATCAAGTCCGGAGGTCAGTATTGCGAAAACTCGTAGGTTTGCATATAGGTGGAAGGATCGTGTCATTATTAAAGGGTTTCCAGCATTACGTAATTTATGTAGACCTTGTAACATGCACTCTTAGTATAAATTTGATTTTGTTGTAGATCTAAATTCGTTGAACACTTACTCTTTAGTGTGGTGATTCACATGATAATATGGAAATAGTGCGAAAATATTGGATTTATAAAAGACTCTTTTAAGTATGAAAAGATCCAGCACTTCAGTGACACTGTTCTGTTACCAGATCACAGAAAAAATATATGTATGGAGGCTGAGTTAGAGGTCTGGTTGCTGTGGTTTGTGTAAGGAGAGTGTATCAATTTATTTTATGGAAACTATCACCAGAAGCCCCATCAAAGTATTATGCTCATTTGACATGTTTTCAGATCCAGCAGAAGTCATCCAGACTCGTTACAATGATGCTGAAATCCATTATGAATATTATGTGCATTATGAAGGTTACAATAGACGACTGGATGAATGGGTTCAAAGGGACAGGTAATGTATATCTTTCTGGTCATGGATAATTGGCTGTTTAAAAAGGTCTATGTGATTATACAACCTTAAGACATCTCTTACATGATAATGTGAGATTATTTCTTGGCAATTTGCATATAAGAAACATAGAAGGAGAGGTATATAGATTCTCTGATCTATAATAACAGATTGTTGCTGTACAACCATCTATTCAGCACATCCCTGTATCCAACTCAACCTCATGTGACACAAACCATTAAAATATGGTTGACGGTGCTAACCATGAATGTAGCATTTCCAGAATGCAATGAACACTAGACTTTTCAGCTTAACTCTTTGACCGGCGCGAAGGGTATTTAAATCCCACCCCTGTCCTGCCCCTGCCCTTTAAACCTTATGTTGCTAAAATGCATGTAGGTTACTTTTTCCTAAACAACTTCAACAAAAATTGGTTTTTAAAAACGAAATTTTCAGGAACTAATTAAAATGCAATATTTTATGCAATAAATGCCTTTCCATACCTCTTTATTAGTTTTTCTTCGTGTGATAAACATTGAAACATGAAAGTTTGCAGAGAGCCACACCACAGCCTGCACACATGATACTTGTTTCTTTTCTAACCTTGTGCTTAGTACTCACGCGACACTTTCTCAGGGCACCATTCTTCTTATTGTTACTGTTAGGTACATGGACCATTTTGTGAATTTTCAAGCCACCCTCTAGACGATTTGCTGGCTCTTTCACTGGTGGTCTTTTCAAGGTCGAGGGCGGAGGCGTGACTGCACTCTAGTCTGACGCAATAGATTCGTCATCCACTTCATTCCTTGACTTTTCTCCCTCTCCACCCTCTTTGTTTGGTTCAGTCATTTTTCTACACAGTCCAATATAAAATCTTTGAATCTGTAATTTCTCTTCTTGTATTTTTCGTTTGTTGTGTTCTTTTTGAATAGAATGAAACTATTCAACCGCAAAGACATGTTTTGTCCATACCATGGGTGTGAAATAGGGGCCTAGTGGACAAATATTCTTCAATTTCAGGGCGTTTGTCGATTCCTGTCATGAACACAATTCCTAAGTATGTCCAGATTTCATCTGATGTGACATAATTGTAATTGTGTTTTCGAGAGTGAGGAGCTAACTCATGTGTGTTGAAGTGCTGGTGAGCATAGCGATTGGTTTCAGTTGTGATGTGATTTACCAAGTCGTCATCCAGAAAAAATTTTAATCCATGAAAAGGGATGCATTTTATGTGTTATATCAATTTTGATCCCGAAACTATTAGCAAATGGAAATATTGGGGGTACAATGTCTCCGTACGTTCATGAGATGGGCGTGTCAGGCACCGCACTCGTGGTAGGTAAATGTTCATGATTACTGTCTTGTGGATCATTGTCTATCACTGTATTATTGTCACTATCAACTTCATCCAATTCAGGAATCATTATTTCATCGCCACTATCATCATCAGAACAAATCTCGTTCACAACATTTTCCAGCTGGTCTGTAGGAACACGAAGACACTTGCTGCAAGAAGCCATGGTGAAACTGAATGAATGTGAAATATTTTCTGACCTTTTCCTTCTCAGAGGGTTCTGACAGTAATATAGACCCCCACAAAGTTTACAAGGGTTCTTTACAAACATGCACAAAAAGTATCATATATATGTCTTTGGTTGATGAGTGCCAAGAGAGCAAAGAAGGGAAGAGATTGTCAAAGCGTTAAAACATGCCAACGCCAGAGAACGGCTGGCATCGTCTGGGCGTTAAAACACACCCGCGCCAGTCAAAGAGTTAATAAGATTAAAAGAAGGCTCAAAACTTTCATTAATCCTGTACCTTGTGATGCTCTGTGGAGAAAAATTAACACCTAAGCATCCTGTATGAATATTTCTACTCCTTTAATTTTGTATTGTCCATTGTCACGCCACATACCCATGTTTTCACTTAACTCTTGTCATTTCTTCCATTGGTCTTTAACATTTTCATAAGATCTGTGGATGACAGTTTTACTTGCTGGTTTCTCAGACTCATTTCCAGATCATTATGAAAATTTGTGAAACGGAGAAGAAGCAAGTGATACACTATATTCACTTGTAGAAAATCTGTTTACTGTGATATTGTATGTATCAGTAATCAGCTGTTATTTGTTAGTCTGAAACATCTTGGACTATAAAAGTGAAATTTGGCAAATCTTTCTAAAAATTGTGGTGTTGAATTTTGTTAAATGCTTTTAACATGTTGAGGCACTGCTATGAACGTTTCTTCGGGGTTCGCCATCCTCTGGAAATGTTCCAGCCAGGCTAATGAGTACCCTCACATGGGTAATGAACTCTCAGTTTCATAGAGTGGTTGTTCGGTGATAGAACTGAAAGAATATTTACCACAAATTGTTATTTGTTGGATAAGAAGAGCATAAGAAATCAGAAAGTAGGGTAAGATGAAATTAACCACATGTCCTGCAACCAGACGAAAGCAAGGAAAGTGATCGGTAGAACTGGTTGATCTTGAGAATTCTCCTGTTCATTTAGGAACACATTGAGCTTCAATGTACCAGTGGCAGTAATAAGAGCCTCCAAACTCTGTGCGTATGTTTTCAGCTTGCATAGCTCATGTGGACGCGTCTTTATGATTGCCTCACCTTCTCTCTGTTGGACGGTAGTGCAGACTGTTGGAATTCTGTCAGGTGCTGTTAACATTGAAGTTACCAGCATGAAACTTGTAGCCCTCTGGGTGAGCAGTCCTCCAGAAGTTTCCCAGCCTCGTTAATTAGATTTCTTTTTTCTTCTGCAGAGTGATGATCTCGCACTTTGACATGTCAGATCATCAGTGGAAAAACAGTGAAAGAATATCAGCGGGCGATTTATTATCTGATCAGTCAGACAGGAAGATCACACGCAATCAGAAAAGAAGACACGATGAGATTAATCATATTCAAAAGGTAAATATTTATGAATTTTGTGTACCTGACATATAAATGTTTAATTTTCAGGGCACTAGAACTCCTTAGAGGAAATCTTTTGGACTCTAACCCTTATTTGTTATTCAGGAACTAGGGAGATAAAAGTGGCCATGAAAGTTGTATGTGAATAATATTTTACTGACAGCCAGAAGGGATTACAGCTCTTTAATGTTACCCCTGCATGTGTTTATAACAGTTCCAGGTTACATAGCACCAGAAGACTGGTTTTGATTTGTGTCAACAAGAGATCCACCTTCTGCTTTCTGGATGTTTTCTCTCTGCTGAAGCTACTTCCCTTGGAGAGGTTACTTTGTCTCTGTGAAGAGATTGAATTCATAGATGCTCATGTATAGGGAATATGATGAGTTTTCAAAGAAATCCTCATTGCTGTCATGTCAGAAAGTCTTTGATATTGGTGGCTGTGTGGTCACATTCATTGGTCATGTAGAACAGTTGGTGAATGAGGGAAAAAATGCTGCTGCTTTCATCATAACACTGGGTAGAGATTGTACTTTTGAAACTTACAGTACTATGTGAGTCATTTCATAAATAATGCACAGGTTGGCAACACTGCAGATTAGATGACGCAACAACAGTGAGCCTCACGTCAGTTACAGTTCAGGGCTTGAGAAAGAAGCTTGTCATTTCGTTTCATTTATAATGTATTCTGTTCTTAAATAACCTGAGTTAGAAATGGAGCCTGCACGGTTCTCGTGTATTGTGACTGTTGAAGATCAAAGGTTGTACATTAAGATCGAAACTTTACATGGAAAAAACCTGACAGAAATCCACAGTGCTTTAAGTGAAGTTTATGGCGAGTTAAGAGTGGACCGTAGTACAGTTTTTCACTGGGCTAGTCGTTTTCATGGTGGTCGTGAGCATAAACGATGATCCAAGGCCAGGAAGGCCGAAAACATCAACAGATGAACGAAGTGTGAAATTTGTTATGTGACATAAACACTGTCCCAAGTGCAACAATTTATTGTACTTTTGTCTTGCCCTCTTCTACACTACATGTTCCGGCCGCAAACGGCCATAATCAGGTGTATGCACTTACGTAGCTGTTACACTGCATCTAGTTTAAAATTTAAAACCACAAGTCTTCCCAATTGTTCTTTTCGTCGTTACTAACAGGTTTCGATTTATTAGAATCTACTTCGCTGATATCTGTCTGCTTTGTGCATTATCTTTGTTGCCTACACTCGTCAATTTTGATATTATGAACCGGCACTTTTAAAATCTTCAGTTCTAATTTAAAATTATTTTAAAAATTAAAATTGTCAGGGTTCTTCGCCCTATGTCTGTAGTGCTGCAGCGGCTACTTCTTGTTTTCAGCACTGTTATTCTGTGTAGGCTCCCTGTGTGCGGCCGCTGCTTATCTTTACTACGTATGGGTTAGACGTGGGTTAGAGACTTTGAACCAGAGCTGAAATCACAGTCCAACGAGTGGAGAGGTCCATCTTCCCCACGATCAAAAAAATTTCGACGATCTCAACCAAAAGTCAAACAAATGATGATCTTTGCGTATGATCACCAAGGAATCTTCATGACAGACAGAGTTCTGTGCGGGAAAAGTGTCACAGCAGTTTATTATCGTGACTGTGCAAAATCTGGGCTGATCATTCTCCATGAGAACGCTCGCCCGCACATTGGGAATGTAACAGAAAAGCTGCGCCAATACGGTTGGGAGGTGTTGCCTCATGCTGCCTACAGCCGGGACATGGGTCCACCAGACTTTGACTTATTCCCAAAGTTGAAAGAACCTATGCGAGGCTGTGGTTTTCCCCCTATGGAAGAGCTTTCTGCTGCAGTTACCTGAGCCATTCGACTGGTAAACAAAGATGGTGTCCTGGATGGAATAGTAAAGCTTTCCACACGTTGAGACTCGATCATGGAGAAGCAGGGGTACTATATTGAAGGACTGTAAAGAGATATTAAAACAGTAAACAGTTGTTGCTATGTAAGGTCTACAACAATATGTGACTATGAGAAGCAGTGGATTGTGTGCTAGCCAATCGCAAGCTAGAAACCATTCACTGTGTAGCAATGGCTGAGTAAACAGCCGGTGCTAGGCAAAGCCTACAACAATACGGACAGCGAACTATTTCCTATGAGGTCCTCTATTAAGAGGAGAGAGTGGTGTGGGTGTTGCAAGCAGTAATATTGTTGGTACTATTTTTTTTTAATGCTAGTGGGGTGGGACTAAGTCCCTTGTACTGTGGCCACTTCTGGCTTATTGTACCCCAGATGATAGGTGAGGGTGATTGTGGAGCAATTGGTGGCATGAAGATTGGCAGGGGAAACCAAAATACTTGGAGGAAACCTGCCCCAGCACCACTTTGTCCACCACAAATCGTTGGTACTATATTATCAGTCTTCAATTCTTCAAACCGAAGTGCGTCTGTGTACTGTGCAACTATAATAAATATTTACGGAACAGTTCAACAAGTGATTGTCTCTTCATATAACGACACCCCACAGGTGTGAGATGTAAGATGTAATATCCCAGTTGTTTCTTTCAGACATACGCAGAAATGGATCCAACAACAGCTGCCCTCGAGAAAGAACATGAAGCTATTACAAAAGTGAAATACATTGACAGGATCCAGATTGGCAGATACGAGATTGATACGTGGTATTTCAGCCCATACCCTGAGGAATATGGCAAACAGTCAAAGTTGTGGATTTGTGAGTACTGCCTGAAGTATATGAGGCTGGAGAAGACATATCGGTATCACTTGGTATGTATGTGTGACAGAAACCGAGGGCTGTTACATGACCAAAGTTAGGCATGTTTCGCACATTATTTGAAAGGATATATTTGTATTAGAGTATACGTCCATATCTCCCCCTCCTCCCTCCCAAGGGTACATTAATTGCAAGTGGCTAAACACAACATTATACCAGACAGCAAAAATACCTGAGTTTTGTCCAGAGTCTAGTTTCATCATAGTACAATGGCACCTCCATTTAATGTCCCTTGATATAACATTTTCTGACTTTTAATGTTCAGTTTCAATGATCTTGGGAGCTGGAATAGTGTAGTTGGTATAGTGACTGGCTACCTGCTGGGTGACCAAGAGGTTGGAGTTTGAGTCCCGGTGGGGGCAATAATTTTCACTTCTCCACGTCCAGACCGGCTCTGGGGTCCACCCAACCTCTTATCCAGTGGGTACCAGGGGTAAAGCGACCAGGGTGTGAAGCTGACCGCTCACCTCCAACTAGTGCTGAGATCAAGAAAATATGGTGCTGTACATCCACTCCCCCATACGCCTTCATGGCGTAGTGCTTAATTAGTTAAGCACAGGGAGAACTTCACCTTATTTCAATGTTCGCAAGTTATTAATCTCATAAATTTTCCCTGTTCAAGATTTTCCTCTGTTTCGTGTTCAATTTTGCTGTTCTCCAAAGAAACTGTAAATGGTAGTTTCACCTTATAAGCTGAAGAAGGGGGAACAATTAAGAAACTGAATTTTAAAGATTGGTGGTTTATTTTTTGATTGACATCCATGATCTCTGTCATAATACTTGTGCACCATTTTGACTGTCATGGCTGCTATATGTATTGGTAAGAGCACAAAGTATATTTCATAATATTTTTGGTTGGTCTGTTAGGTCCATGATAGGATGCAGGAGACTGAACACTTAACATTTTTATGTAAATATTACCTGAACCTGGAAACTGATCATTTTGATTGAGATTTCTTTTCCTCCAAGACCCTTGAGGAAGATCTTAATATCTTCAAAAGTTGTACATGTTTTTCCTTCAGCATGTTTCCTGTTGTATCATGTAATTAAATAAACCAAAAAGAACATGAATATCTGTGTGGGTGTAGACATTATTTTGTGCTGCAGTGGCTAGTGTGGAAGTTTTTACAAAAGTGAGATAAACTTCAGAACTAAGAATATGTTGCATGTTCGAATGGAAATTGTACTTAAAAGGTTTGAACAAAACTACTGCTTGCCATAATATATCAACACCATTTCATACACAGAAGTAAACTCAGTCATTACTCTCAGGAGCCGCTTTTTGTCCCAAGCCTGAGTAGAGTAGTATGGGTTGCCAAAAATGTGAGCTGTTTAAATGCCCTGTGGTTTAATTCAGTACTCATAACACTGTTGATTTCTACCATCACTTGTTCCAGTTTTAGCTTAATTGAGATTTAAATAAGCTAATGTATGCTGTCTTGTAGCATTGTGTCCATGTAAAGTTGAATTCCACTCAAAAGACAGACTTCTAGAACACCACCTATTTGTAATTTGAGGATAATGCTATATGTACTGTGTCCAGAAAATAATGGTGGGATTTCTGGAGGCTCTGTCTGCAGATAACAAATGGTGTCACATTGAATTTTATACAATTACATTCCTCTACTCGAATGAGCGGCCACTGTTTTCTACTCCAGTTTAGTATTTTGGTATTTTTCCATTTATCTGGTCATTTCCTGTGTGCAACATTTCATGGAAAATGGGTTGGCAGGGCTGATTCAGTTCTGTGGCTACCTAGGAGCTCAGATTTTACACCACTTGATTTTTTATTTTGGGGCTATGTAAAAAACTATGTTTATATGGACAAAATTTATGACCAGAATCATTTGGAAGCAAGAACAGGAGAAGCTGCTGAGCTGGTAACAAGAGATATGGTACATTTTATGTGGCAAGAGGTGGAATATCAGTTGGACATATGCAAGGTGATAAATGGTACACATGTGGAAACTAATTATGTTCAAAACTATTTGAGGTGCACTTTAAAATGAAGTATTGATATTTTGAGCACACTGTATTGTTTGGAAAGTGTGGTGAAGAATGGAGAATTCTCTCGGTGAAAGACATTGATTTTGAAAGCATGTGTTTTTATGAATTTTTGTGCTTTTCAACTCATATTCCAGAGTGAATGTACGTGGCGAATGCCCCCAGGGAAGGAAATATACCGAAAGGGTACGCTGTCCATCTGGGAAGTTGACGGCAAGGATCACAAGATATACAGTCAGAACCTGTGCTTGCTAGCTAAATTGTTTCTCGATCATAAGACGCTTTATTTTGACGTTGAACCATTTTTGTTCTACATTCTGTGTGAAGTGGATAAACATGGAGCCCATCTTGTTGGCTATTTCTCGAAGGTAACTCGATGGATGTGAATATCGAATGATATATGTTCAAATCATTTTAACCTCCTATGTTGGAATAATGAGGAATGGCTTGTAAGACAATGTTCTTTCCGTTAAACATTCAGGCGCACTTGTGAACACTTCAAATTTTGTTGACTATTTACTTTAACAGTTGGTGTGAGGATTTTATTCTTGGATTTTTCAGGCAAATCCTGTGAAACTTGTGCAGTAAAATGATAAATAACTGTTTTATGGTATCGAACTGCAATGTCAGCCTAAACAAACCCTTTTGAAAGTGGCAGGATTCAGATGCAAATGGTCAGAGTAACATGTCCTTTGATTACAACTCAAGTGGTAAAGTGGTGTTTCTTGATGTTGATTTTGTGTACTGTTCAGTGTTGTATGGTACCCTTTTATATTATGGCTCAGTTGGTATAGTGTTGGGCTCTGGGCTGAATGACTGGGGTTCAGTTCCTGGGATGGGCAACAGATTTTTCTGTACTCCACAGTGTCCAGACTGGTTCTTAGACCTACCGAGCCTTGTATCCAGTAGGTAGTGGGGCTTTTTATCCAGGCGTGAAGTAGCAGGAGTGTGGAGCTTGATAACTCACCTTCGTCTAGTGCTGAGGTCAAAAAAGGTGGAGCTATACTGCCACTCCCCCACACATCTTCATGGCATGGTGCTTAATTGATTAAGCGCAGGGACAACTTTACCCTTTCCTTTTATATTTCTCATAGTATTTGTGGGAACTTAGCAAGAAGGTGCTGAATACAGTTCCACTGGGGAACCCCCATTCAAAAGAAACAGAATGTAAAGTAGGTTGAAGTAGGTCAGAAAAAGGCTCAGTTGATAGATGACTTTTTGTGATAATGAATTTTTCAGTCTGCAGAAACTACTGTTCTGGTACCAGGGAATTTTTTGTAACAGCCTGAATCCTCTCTCTCTCTCTCTCTCTAGGCATGTGTGCGTGTAAGAATTTTTATGCCTACATTTGCAGTGTCTGTTTGTATTTTACTTTTAGGAAAAGGAATCTCCAGATGGAAATAATGTGGCATGCATCTTGACACTGCCTCCTTATCAGCGCCAGGGATATGGGAAGCTTCTAATTGCCTTCAGTTATGAACTCTCTAAGATGGAAGCTGCAGTTGGCAGTCCTGAAAAACCCCTCTCTGACCTTGGTAAACTGAGTTACCGTTCATACTGGTCATGGGTTCTTCTGGAAATACTTCGTGACTTCAGAGGAACTCTTTCTATTAAGGATCTTAGGTAAGCAGTTTCCCTTTACAGGACTTTGCGTTTGAAAGTTAATGTATTATCTCATGTTAGTGGCTAGACATGGTTTTTGGTCTGATAATTGGATTTACTGAATGCCTCTAACTCAGTAACTACAAATGATTATTACAGTTTCATTAATTTACATGTTCTGTAAATGTCTACAGCTACATCACACACAAAGTCTTGTGATTTTTGCTGTGTCATCACTAGTCATTGGTAGACAGCAGTGTTAACACTGGGGATTTCTCATGGCCAGCCACGAACTGTCACAGCTCAGTAACAACTCGTGACTAACTGGCTGGTTGGTGAGATAAATTTCTGCTGGTCCTTTGCCAGCACAGTCATTCTTGGTTCTGAGTCCTCTGGGACTTAGGACCATATTTTACTGTCTCATGTCCTCTGGGACTCAGGACCACGTTTTACTGTCTCATGACTCTGGGAGTTGTGATATTCTACTGACTGCTGCTTCTGTCCCTTGTTATACAATCTTGGAGCAGACTGCATAGAAAACTTCACACTCTCTATTGTTGTTGCCTTGGAAATGTGTTCACTGTGCTGCTGCCTATAAATGACTGTCTCTGCAGGTTCCACTATTCCAGCTTTCAGCCATAATGTCACAGTATTAAGAGTGAGGTAGCCTGCCTGCACCCTTGTACAAGTCAGTGTGTATATTTCAAACTGATGTTACATGTAATCTTGTGGCTGATCCTGTTTCTGCTTTTCTACACCTTCTCTTCAATAAAAACATACTATAGTAGATCCTCAGTATAAAGCTGGTATCAGGGGACAGCTTCAGTACTCGTGTTACAACTGAAATGAGCTTCTTTTGGCTTATTTTGGACTTCACCCATTGTCTGGTATGTAAAAGACAAAAAACCAGGACGTTTCGGAGACTGGATCTGTCTCCGTCTTCAGGTGGATAGGGAAGGATAAACCTACTCAGTTGGGCCCCTTAGAAAGAGCTAGTCTCAATCACTGGACAAACCCCAGTCTGTAGAAAAACAACCTATGAACAACCAACAACCGGTTCCATCAATGGGAGGAAAGGATAAAATCACAGTAAAAACATGATAGAAAATTTGTGCCAAGCATGCACTTGTCAACAATGTAAAGAAACAGAAGTATAGGTTTATATTCCATGAATTAAGTTAAAAACGAAAGTAAAAACTGGATAATGCATGCCTAATCTGCGTGGATAAAGAATCGTGCCACCATGGCGACTTCCGGGAATCAGACTAATCCCCGGAACAAAACTTGCAGGAGTAGTGGAACCACTAATATTCATAAAATTACATTTTTGATTTGTTAACCTCTTCATTGATGAGGGGGATCCATATGGGAGAAATATCCAAACTGGGTTGGCTGATCGGATTGGATGAACATGCCATATGAGCCGACCCTTTGTATTTTCTGTAGCTCTTTCTAAGGGGCCCAACTGAGTAGGTTTATCCTTCCCTATCCACCTGAAGACGGAGACAGATCCAGTCTTCGAAACGTCGTGGTTTTTTGTCTTTTTGTCTTTTACATACCAGACGATGGGTGAAGTTCAAAATAAGCCAAAAGAAGTACAGTATACACCATCGTCAGAATCCTTTCAAGTCTAACTGAAGTGAGGTTTATCAAATTTCGGAAGCTCTATTATTGTTTATATTTATTCAGGAACTAAAATATGTACAGGCAACCCTGAGCATATGACCCCCCCACATCTACAACCATTTTCTTCATGTCAAATTTACACTGAAAACCTTACTTATGCCTTTCAGACACATTTAAGGGTATCAAGTCAGCATTGAAAATTGTTGAGATGGATGAACCCTGATTTTGAGCACAGTTCAAAGCTCACTTTAACAATGCCTATGCTTTCTACATAGAAATTTTCTGTGAAAATAAAAAGGCATCTTCAGACCAAACATATTTGGATACTGTTTTAAGGAGCCTCTGCCTGTCCAGTGCTGTGGAAATAGCCTCAGTGCCCAAACTTCTAGTTGACCAACTAACTTCCATGAATCTAGCCCTCTGCCACTTGCAAGTAGTTCAGTATTTGACAATCCATGTGCAGTTCCATTCCCTTCTGCTTCTGCTCCTCGAAGCTCAAATTATATAATAGAGAGCTGAGCTTTAGTGATATGAATTTTTGAAATATGTGTTTTTTTTTGTATCAAGTGTGTGCATTTATTAATAAATACCTTTAAATATATGTGGTTACTGTTTTCCTCCATTTTCTTACTCAGATTTAATAATTTTAGGATATGAAATGGGTTTCCAGGAATGGAACTGCAGTTTATAACAGTCTGCTTATGGGGTATATGGGTTTGACTTATGACAGCTCTCCAGGAACAGGTTAGGTTGTGTGCAGCTCACCTGTACATAAAACTTGAGGTACATCTCAGGCTGTGGCCAGGCAGATAAAAGGGGTGGTCATTAAATTTTGCTCTTTGAATAAAAGAGTCTCAAGTCAGAGAAACCAGAAATGTATGGCCTCTTTGTAGTGAACTGTGGACTTCATGCTCTGTACCTACGATTGCAGCAAGGAAAGTTGTAGTACAGTTTTGTGCTGTAACTGAAGCATTTCATAGAAATGTGTGGCACCCATGTGCACATACATACCCAACGTTGTGAGGCCGCGCCAAAGCTCAGGTGGTTAGTTGCTGGCTTCCCATCGTGGCGGCCCGGGTTTGGTCAAGTGGGATTTGTGGTGGACAAAGTGGCGCTGGGGCAGGTTTTCTCCGAATACTTCGGTTTCCCCTGTCAATCTTCATTCCGCCAGTTGCTCCACAATCACCCTCACCTACCATCTGGGGTTGGTACAATAGGCCAGAAGTGGCCGCAGCACAAGGGACTTAGTCCCACCCCACTAGCAATAAAAAAAATACCCAATGTTGTGACAAAGCAGTAACACACTAGAGTTACATTTTGGAGGATTTGAGTTCAAATCAAACCTGTTCCAACTGCTTAAACAATATTTGAACGCCCATTTACAATTCTGTGTTACATATTCTCCATTACAGTATGGCCATGCACCCACAGATGTGTGACACAATGGCACAAAACTTTCTGTCAATCTGTCATTGTGCTTGTCCCCTTCTCACTGTGAAGGACTCCCTGACATATTATATACATTCCAAAGGATTGTGAATTATGTTCTGAAACTGTTGTAGCATAGTCATGGTATAAAGCATATGCTGCTTTGTTTGTGGAGCTGGGATATTTCAATCAGTATATTGACTGTTGATTTGCTGGATGATAGAAGTGTTGGAGTTCAAGTTCCTGGCACGGTCAAGAATTTTCTCTTCTCCCATGATCCACACTGGCTCTCAGGCCCACCCAGCCTCTTACCCAATGAGTACCAGGGGCTTTTCCCTGGGGATAAAGCAGCTGGGGCTCGAAGCTGACCACTTACCTCCAACTAGCGCCAAGGTCAAGAAAACATGGATCTATACATCCACTTCCCCATACGCCTTCATGGCATAGTGCTTAATTAGTTAAGCACAGGGACAGCTTTAGCGTTTTTACTTTGTTTGCAGTGAGATGACGAGTATAACCCAGACAGACATAATTTCAACACTTCAGTCGATGAACATGGTGAAATATTGGAAGGGTCAACATGTGATATGTGTAACTCCTAAATTAGTGGAAGAACATATAAAATCTTCGCAGTTCAAGAGGCCAAGACTCGTAGTGGATACAAGTGCGTTACGATGGGCTCCACCAAGGAAAGCTCAGCCAACAAGACCTGGGAAAAAGTGAATGTGATGTGCACAGTTCCTATTGTGTTTAAACTGTTTGTAAATTGATATAAAGGTGAGTGGATGTTGGTGCAAGTGAGTTGAGCAAATGGAAGTGAGAGTTACACTAAAGTTGGGGTAGTTTGTGGTGAAATATCCCCATTTATAGTTACCTTTCTTGTTACAGTTGAGTCCATTATTCTGAAAGGGTAGCATTTGAAGCATCTGCAATAAAATTTTGATCAAAATGCAGATAGAATATTTCTTACACGAGGTGCCCTGCCACACAATGGCCAGGCTTTGGGAGAATATTCTGCAGGTTTGGAACAAAAGAATGCCGTAAACAATAGTTTATTTCATCATTGTTATCAAGCTAAGCCCTAGTGTAGTGTAGCGCAAAATGAATAACTTTCATTTGAATTGTTTTCTTACCACCAAAGGGTTTACATCGAAATTATTTTCACCTTCTGTGTGAATTTGGACACACATGGGACGTGCTGGGAGCAGTGAGTAGTATAATGCTGCCTTCTGTAGCAGCGTTACTTGTAACAGAGGAACAAATTTTAACTTGACCGCACAACATTCTCAATCAATAGCTCCTAACTCAGCTTTTGTTTTGTTCAACTTGATAATCAGTTCATTAAGTTCTGAATTTGAAATGTAATCTGTAAGACAGATTGGGAATGATGCTGTTAACCTTCCACTTTATTGTGTAATCATACATGTTTAACCCGTGGCAGTTGCCTCATTGAGCTGTTACTGAATTTAGCTAGCATCTCAGCAGCTTTAAGATTCTTTTCCATTTTGGCGGCTGCTGACTGGCATGGTCGCTTACTGTCTTGCCTTGTGAATGGTCCTCCCATGATGGCTTCTTTCTTCTTGTGAATGCCGACTGCCTGATACAGAAACTGGCTTTGATGTCTTTACTTATGGCATAAGCGCTGTAATATTAACTGTCCGTTCTGGTATGATGACTCACAAATATTCAGTGTGGTGAAAATGCCTGAAATCGGTGACAGGCTGCCCTGTAGTGGTCAAACGATCCAACTCCTGCTTACAATGTCTGGATGATAAGGAACTGCTGTAGTAGCTAGCATGTTCCCTTCACAGGTCCTTGGTACTTGGGACCCCTCTGGCAGTGGATATCCTCCTCCCCCCAGCCAGGACAGGTTCGCAACTTGTATTGTTTATCAACATAAAGCTTTACAGCATGTTATGTTTTGGAAAGTGCTACTGATATTCTGTCCGTATATGACTGCATGTTTAAATATGGGGAGTGTTTGACATTTTGATGCAGTAAGAAACAGCTGCACGAGCTGAGTACAGTAATCAGACAGAATGAATACATGATAGTGATGTCAGCAAAATGCAGTAGACCAGAGCTTGCCTGTATGATGGTGATGAATCATACAGTTGTTTACGGTATTGGTTTATGGTATTCTGGATTGTTGAAAATAATTGTTGTCTGGGCTGTGATGCAATAGAGATTGTTGTTTTGCATTGTTTTGGGATCTCTGTTTGATATATTCCTTCTGGAATATAATATAATTTAGAAGTATTTGTATTTTTCTATTGATCTCTCCATCAGTGGACAGTGGATTGATGTTCTGATGATGTACAAACAATATCACGTATGTATCGGTTGTAGGATATTCTTGTAATAGAATCTAGTTACTTTGTTGGTTTGTAGTTGCTAACACCTCAGAGTTTTACACATTCTGTATGCAGTGCACGAAAGAACACCACCTTATAAGGAGGTTGAATCTGTACATACACACGTTTCTCTCACCCAGCAGAGTTATACAAAACTTTGTGCAATAAATCCAGATTTGGGATCGTAATGTATGCATTTCCAAATTGGAATTTTCAGAATGAAACCATTGTCTGTTGATCAGAATTGGCACAGTTGCAAAAAGAAGAATTAATGAAATTCCCAGAAGATACACATTTGCGATACTCCATATGTAATGATAATATGGATTTGTAATATTACAGTTTAATAAAAGATTATTGATAATTTTCATTTCATGCATCCTATTGTGTTACAATATACAACCTCTTTATTAACCGTCACAACACACATATGAAGAGCCGTAGCTAGGCACTGATCTTGCTGTTTGTTGTGTTGACGGTTAATAGAGAGGTTGATTATTGATAACATAAGATATGGATTAATAAGATTTGTTTGGTACCTTGTTCAGAATTACATTTTCCACTTGAATCAACCATTATTACATTGAAAACCTCGGGTCTCAGTTTATCTAAATGCCCTGCTGTCACATTTGATAGAGTAAAATGTGCCATTGTGTGTATGTGTATTTGGATCAGCCTTAGCTGGTTCTGACAGTGATATGGTATTGGGCTTTGTCAGTCATGTGGTATTCTGAAGGCAGCTCATTTTGATCATGTTGTGTTCAAAATATTACATTCTGGACAAAATTCAGAAATTCATGAATACTAAATATGTATACAGTGGACTGCTTATTTAGCGTTCCTCAGTTAAGGTTTTCCGTCATTTAAAGTTGAATTTGAAGATTCCAAGACAATTATTTGTGTCACATTTCTTCCATGTAAGATTTTCCTTGGTTTGATGTTGAAATTCATCACTCCACAAAGAATCCTGAAATCCGGGTTCTACTTTGTGGTTTTGAAGGTTTCATTGGTCTCTTTTGTCAGGAAATTGTAGATTTAAGTGCTGTAAAAATGGTTAATTTGGGTTGACTGTATTTCACACTTTAAATTTTAGTAAGTTTAAAAAGGATATAAGTGATGCTGTGTATATAATTCAGTGCAACTCAGAGTTGTATAGTCCGCAGATTGTGTCAGTTGACTGTTTCACTGTTAAAGGAGTTCTGGACAGGCATTGTTCTCTGATGATGAGGCTCTTATATTGAAACCCTGTTTGTAAAAATATGAAGAAAATATAATGAATTTATGTTGATTAAGATATTGGTTGTAGAACCTGAAGTTTCAGCACCAGAAATATCAAAGGTTGGCATCTTTTCAATTTTCACACCAAAATCTGTATATATTGATCTCACGTGTTCCATCTTAGTCTTGATTTCATTGATTAGTATTAGGTGATGTGTAAAAGTCACAGTGTTTCTGGTTATTTTATGTTCCAAATTGTACCCTTGTGTTATTTCTCTTAGGTCCATATGTTTTCTGAGAATATTCTTTTCTTCACACATTCCCTGACAGCAAGATACCACATTCTACAATCATAAAGAACTGTCATGTGTGTACAGACTTCTGTTTTGTAAGATGCAGACAGTGGTTTTACATTTTGATCTGCAGGATTTTAGAAGGAGTTTGTGGTTGGTTCATGGTCTCTGTGTATGTCATGCCATAGGAGCTATGGTGGTAAAGTCCAGTCCATTCTGAGATGTCACTTGCAGGTGGTCAACTTTGTGCTTCAGCCAGTTTTATCTCTGGGAAAACAATCATGCGGATGGATCCTGAATTCCTAAAGTATATTGCAACTGAGATGTGGGAAGACAAAAGAACAGATGGAGACAATCATAAATGAGGTTGGAACAGGGTAATGCCTAATCACTGGATTGCGCCAGAAGAAGAGGAAGATCTTCCATATGTTTTAGGGAGGTTTGGTGGGTCCTAGTGCCAGTTTTCATAAGCTGGCAAGGAGAAGAATCTCAGCCAGTGAGTCACATTGTTGAGATGTGCTGGCTGTTCTGAAATATTTTATAGGAGAGAAAGAGGAATTTACTGCAAAATTTAATTTTTCATGAAAAGCAGAGTGGTTTGCAGGATCTCAGTTTTAAAATATAATGTCTTAGCATTTAGTTTCTGCACTCAGGAATAGATTGTGCTTGGGTCACAGAAGGAAACCCCTTGGACCAACTCCCACCCACACATCCCTACTTCCCTGTATTCCTTCTAGTCTAACAATACCGCAGCAGGCAGAAAGGGAGAAACCCCAAATGCCTTCATCCTCACCATCAACGGTACTTCTTTTAGTGGTCTCAGTATAACTGTCAGCAGCTGCTAACCCATCAGCACACTTGACTGCCACAGGACAATCACCTGTTTAGGTTGTTCTGAGAAGCAGAGCTGGAAATGGGAGCACATGGCACTTGCTTGAGGGAGCTGGTTCCATTCCCTTAAGACTGTCATTCCCAAAAGTGATAAACGTAGGAACAAATACATGAACACACATTGTAATAAGAATACTAACACACTGCCTCCATCATCAGGGTCAAAGAGTAAGCCAGATAAGAAGTGGGCAATAAGCAATATGTTGCTTTCCACCTGCTTCCTTGCTGATATTTCTTGGTTTACTTTTTTACCCTAAAGATGGAGGCAGTGTATTCCTTTGAAATGTTAATGAGCTTCTACCATACTATATGCCATTGCATCCTAGAAGATAGTCCTTTCCATTGTCACTGCTCTGAGAATGTAAAATCATGCAGTGTAATAATTTCCTTTTAATATGTGTTACACATTCCCCTATGCTTTTCTACTGATCTGAAACATCTTCCTAGTTCTGAATAGCCATTTTCACCCCCCACTGTGAAGTCACCGTATGAACCTGAATAAATTGCATATTATAAGCGTTTCCTTAAATAAAACCTATTTGTAGATTCTGGTCAGACAAAGACATGGAAATTCCAGTGTGCAGTGGTTCCAGCAGCAGTCCAGGTAGTTCTTCACCAAGGGGATCTGTCAGCTGGTCCGTTAATGAGATGTGTCTGCCTTGACACCAGTGGGGTCTGTTTTTAACAGCCTCTATTCCTTTGCCCAGAACAATTCCTAAATGGGCTTCATTTAAACAAGCCACATACATAACACATATGATATGCTTAAACAGAAGTGTTGAGGCATTTATTTTTAAATATTTGTATACATTTTATACAGCCATTTTGAATAGACTAAACCAAGTTGTGTGCTAAGGGTTTGAAAAACAACTAAAGGGAAATCTGCGATCACAACCTTTATTTTACTAGAAAGAATCTGTTCTCACATAATTCTACACAACGGTATGTGGAGACAATGTGCAAGCCTGCATAATAATTCAATAATTTAAATATTTATGCTATTTTAATATATTATCATTAGAATACACTATTCCCCCTCCCCAAAATAAATTAGTAGTATTTATAATAACAACAGTATGAACTTACAATTTGGGATCTTCCTGGCTGTTAGAGAATGGCAGTACATGAATCGATTTCTCGATTTTTATTGTTATTAGACTTTGATGCAGAAGGCATTTATAAACTTGTAAATATAATATCCCCCCAACTTACGTGATAGTTGCATTCCCAATGGTGATGTAATTCAAAATTTGGTGCTCATTTTTGTTACTCATTGTTTCACTGCATTTAATTTTCATTGAAACATATGCAGTTCGGTTGACATTAACACAATTCATTTTATTCATCTATGAATATGAATTTTTTGTTTTTAATAAATGATTTAATTATTTTTTAGTTTCTGCTAAAAAATTCTCACGAAATCACAATGTGAAATCACATAAGTCAAGGGGTACCTCAAATAAAGTCCAGCCTAGAAAGTACTGTATACTAAAGTAGGTTACTACCTAGTCTCTCTTTTCAAAGATCCAGTCTGATGAAGACAGAAGACTGAAGGTCAGTTTTCATGGCATGAAATTTTGTTTCACACTGTCTGGATAGTGTCATATATCAGTTATAAGAAATACTCAACCAAGGAATAAGTTGATTTGGATAGCTACCCCTAAAAATTATAAGGGTTTTCTTTTTCAATTTGTGCATCAGCTTGGAAGGTCCCAAATACAAAAAAAAAAAGCATATTATTATATGTATTACTGAATAGTGATCTGATGACATGATATCATATCTTCAGTGTACAAGGAAAACTGTTACAATATGAGTAGCATGGAGCCTAATATAATGTGACAATGAGCATTACAGAAGGTAATCAGAATTACTCACCCTGTTACCCTTCACCTGCTTAGTACACAAAATATCTTGACCAGCAAGCATCTATGGATGCATCACAATACAAGTTTCAGAATTACAGGTTGTATTGGGACAGTCATTCACTTACCTTCATTTCAAGTATTTCTTAAAACTGCAGACAGAATACTGTGAAGTTACGGTCTTGTTAGGCTCCATTCTTAGAATATTCTGCCAAGGCAGTTTGATGTTCTGATTGATCTAGGCAAGGCACAGTGAACACCCCATGCACAATTGATGTTTTAATATTGCGTGAGGTTGTTTAAAAAGGATATATTTGAGTACCATACAGGACGTAGGACTAAGCGCACAGGCATCCATTTGACATCCTCTTGTTGGATTACGCGTTAAAAAGATATTAACAGAATATTACATTAATCACATGTCATTTATTAGTTGGTTTCCAAATAAATCCTTCTCTGTGGCCTTGAGGATTTGAAATACGTGGGAAGTCTTCAAAGTGCAGGTCCTCAGTAAATATGTTTATCCCCTGAAATCTTCAACATGAACAAGATCAAAAACTATTTCACTAAAATAATTAAATTTAGGCCATGACAGCAAAACACAAAAACAAAATCACAGCTCAATGAATATTTTGCATCTTCTCAAGCCATCACCTGACAGTTGCACTATGTAACATAGCAAAGCTGACTGATTTTTACCACATTCCATTCAGTTTTGATGGAAAGTCAGTCACAAATATTACCATCCTTCGCTGACATGATATTTCCATTTTCACACCCGAGTTTCAGTTCGGTTTCTTTACAGAATAATATGTCTTTCAGTTTTGACTCTTCTTAAAAATTGAAGAAAACCAGCCAGCCTTTAATCTATTGGTTTCTTAACTTTCATTTCCTTTTCTTATATATTACTTTTCTTGATGCACAAGCTGAGTTATCAGTTATATTTACAGTCATACTTATCATAGCAAATTACAATATATATGTTCTGTTTATATAATTCTTTTAGTTTCTGATCCTAAGAAGTGGAATATTTGTGGGGGTTAGAAAGATTGAGCATATATGCTCCCAAGATTATTGTGGTATGGGTGTCAGTTTTATTTATACATAAAACATCAGGCTAAAATATTTAATATACAATCTTTGAGAAGCTCATGGAAACCAGTATTAACAACGTAGATATACACAAAAATTAAATATTTTAAAATGGATTCACCTTTACTGACTGAATGATATATATGTATATATATCTTTTTCTTTTACATACCACAAAATGGAGGCAGTACAGAAAGCTCATATCCAAGGTAGATGATAAAAAGAAAACATTACTGGCAAAAGGTGACAAGGCAAATGTTTCACTCTAAATGTTCCTTTTTCTCACCATCCTTTGTCTAGGCCTAGAGCTGTGTCTACAGTTCACATTAACAGACTGTTATGTATAGTATATGAGTAGTTCACTAAATCGATTGGAACTGTATTCAGGGACAAATGGCGGTGCTACCATTGTTATTCATTAAGGTGCCTCTTGTATTGACACTTTTTTAAGCCAGTTTCCATTGTGTACAGTAATAAACCAGTATATTGTAACAATTTGTGGAGAGTGACATCACAGTTTTCCCACATGGTGTCCCCATGTACCACACTACACAGCATCACATAATTTTCACTGCTGTAGGGACATCAAATCTTACAATACTTAGGACGTATTTCAGTTTACACCCCACAGGGGATTATAATAAGAGCTCAGGGTGTATAAAGCAGACATCTCTCTGTGCTTGTATAGGAATTAGAAAGTAATGCGCACTCTTGAAAAGGCCAGCAATAGTAAATTTCCTAGCAGCTTATGTTACACAGATAGCAAGTAGCATACTGAGCACTCTAAAAATAAAGTGAATCTTTCTATAATACCCTTATGTCATGTTATAAAGGAAACATACGTTGTAAGTGATTGCCAGAGGGAGACCATATCCTTACATAAATATTTTATTACCATCTTGACCTATGTATTGAAGAAAAAGTAGGGCTTTGAA